CTAGAGGTAGAGACAGTAGAAAACAGTTGAAGACTTGTGCAGGAGAATGTGGATTAGATTTTAGTGGTAAGGAAATAGGAAGATGAGCGAATTTAGGCTCTGGGAGTTCTATCCCCTTATGTGACTTTGTTACTTTTTTTTTTTTTTTTTTTTTTTTTTTATGACTTGTTTTTTTTTTTTTTTTTGGTTTTTTTTGGTCTTTTTGAGACAAGGTCTCGATATGCAGTTCAGGCTGGCCTTGAGCTCACTTTGTAGCCCAGGCTGGTCTCAAACTCAAACTCGAACTCAGCCTTGAACTCAGCCTCCTGAGTGCACGAGTACTGGGATTACAGGAGTGCACCCTACGCCTGGCCCGACTTTGTTACTTTTGTTTTGATTTAAATAGCTTGAAATTATGGTTGAAGGTCATAAAATAACTGGCCATGAAACACTTTTGAGAATATCTCAAAATTATTCTGGCAGTTTACTAATAGGTTATCTCTAGAGGTAATTGATTTTTTTTTTTTAAATTTTGAATAAAAGGAATAATGAACTGTCTCTACATGAAATACTTCATATTTAGTGGTTGTTTGCAATTGTAGTCCTACTGAATATGCTTGATTCCATTGTTCATTACTGTTCAGTGAGATCACCCTGGAGAATTTTTCCCTTCCTTAGGGTAAGGATGATGGTATTTCATCATTGTTGCAAGAAATAGGACAGAGAAATCCTTAACCTTTTGAGCAAAAGCAGTTCTTTAATTCAAAAATTTTCTAGTCCTCAATTGTGTTAGTTGTACTATAGTTGGTATCTTATAAATTACTTAACAAGTCAATGTGAATTTAATAATAGATTTAAATGACTTGATGTCTTCCTAATTAAAGTAACATCTATGTACATTTGGCAGGTAAGTTTATGTGCTTTTGAGATGTTTGTTCAACCTTTTAATTAAACATCTTCAGACTGCTTACGCTATTCTCAGTTTCTTAGGCCAGGAAGAACCACTAATTTAGCATATTGGCAACTTCTGTAGTACCCCCTTTTTTAATGAATGAGTACAGTGCTTTTTACTTCGCTATAGTAATTTTTTTTTAATTTTTTTTTTTTTTAAAAGAGCTTGGCCTAGTGAAAAGCTGAATTTATAGAGTAGGGAGAAATGTATTTCCCTTTAACTTTGGTTCAGTGATGTAGTCAGATATAGTCTACAAACTTACAAGTTCAGGCTACGTACATAAATCTTTGTTCCTATGGTTTATCATTTTGAGATCCAGCTCCTTGCTGCCTTTTCCTCTTTGTGTACCAGTGATACAGGGATTTATGTATTGGCTTTAACAATTACTGAGATAAAACCTTTCTATGTGAATTATATTTTATTTTGTCAAAATATTTTGGGTTGAACCGGGCGTGGTGGAGCATGCCTGTAATTCCAGCACTCACTCCGGAGGCTGAGGCAGGAGCATGGTTGCGAGTTAAGAGACCAGCCTGAGCTACAAAGTGAGCTCAAGGCCAGCCTGAACTGCATAGCGAGACCCTGTCTCAAGAAGACACAAAAAAACAAAAAATTTGGGGTTGAAGTGTTCTGTTGTTTCTCTTGCATTTGATGGTAGAACTTACATGAAAATGACAATTTATCTTGGCAGATAGTGCTCTTACTACAAGTTGCCTTATTTGTAAAATAAGACTTTCCTGCAGATCTTATCTTACTGTTGTAATATTTTGTTAAAACTGTTTGAGAAGACTTTATACTGGTGTCTAAAACTAATGTTTTTAGTGCAGCACACCCCTCTACCCCTATTGGCTCTTGCTGTATTCTAGTCTGGCCTTAAATTCAGTATATAGCTCACGCTGTCCTTGAACAACTGTCACTCCTTGCAGAGTGCTAGGATTATAGGCATGTGGCACTGTGCCTGACTGTTAGTGTACCTTTAATTTTGTGTTACTTAGTTATGCTGTATGGAAAATTTAGTGATTTTTGAATGTGCTAGATTAACATAGTAGGGCCTTCAGAGTAGGTTCTTTTAATACAGTAGCAAAAATCTTTTGTGGTAGAAAAGTGTATTTCTAAAACGTCATATGTTGTTACCTGGGCGTCACAGTACTCCTGAGGCCGAGGCAGGAAGATTGTTGAGTTTGAGGGCGGCCTGGACTACATAGTGAATTCAAGGCCACCATGAACTACATAGCGAGACTCTGTCTTGCAAAAAAAAAAAAAATCATACGCTGTTACAAAAAATACGCTAGTAGCTGGACATGGTGGCATATGCCTGTAATCCCAGCACTTGAGAGGTACAGCAGGATCACTGCAAGTTCAAGGACAACCTGGACTACATAGCAAGTAGCCAGCAAGACCTTATCTCTGAAAGAAAAAGTTTTACAGAGGTGCTCTGCCCTTATTTGTGTGATACCTCTTTTGAATTTTCAGCTTTATTGAAGTATAATTTGTATATGACAGCATTCACCAATTTTATTTTTTTTATTTTTTTGGTTTTTCTCCGGTACCGGGAACCGAACTCACGACCTTGTGCTTGCCAGGCAGGCGCTTTGCCACTGAGCTAAACCCCAGCCCCTATTCACCAATTTTAAAATGTTGAGTTCAGTAAAGTTTTTTTTTTCTTTGAGATAGGTCTTGCTATGTAGTTTGACTGTCTTTGAACTCACTATGTCTCAGGCTGGCCTCAAACTTGCGGTGATCCACCTGCCTCAGCCTCCCAAGTGCTGGGATTACAGGCATGCAAGCACCACACCTGGCTCAGAGTAGCTATTTTTATTTATTTAGTTTTGTTTTTTTGAGACAAGGTCTCACTATGTAGTTGGGGCTGGACTTGCATTCACTTTGTAGCCTACGCTGGCCTTGCATTTATGGCAATCCTCTTGTCTCAGTCTTCTAAATGCAGGGATTACAGACATGTCTACACACTTGGCTGTAGTAGCTATTTTAGGGATGTGATATTTATTTTTACTGGGGATTGAACCAAGGATCTTGGACATACAGAGTTTGTACCTTGGAGGTACACTCCAGCTGACAGAATCTTCCTAAGTTTTCATTCATTGTATGCCAAGAAAATCCCTCTGTGGTGTGAGTATCAACTTGACATTTAAAGTAACTTTATTAAATATCTTGTCCCTAAATTTAAACTTTATAAAGGATATTTAATATAACTTCTATTGATGGATTGATTGATTGGGACTTGGTATTGAACACAGGACCTTTGCACTAAGCTAGATCCTTAGCCCTTTTTTTTTTTTTCCCCAGTATCGGGAGCCGAACTCACGACCTTGCGCTTGCCAGGCAGGCGCTGTGCCGCTGAGCTAAATCCTCAGCCCCCCTTAGCCCATTTTTATGTTTTATTTTGAAATAGGGACTCACTAAGTCACTAAGTTGCCCCACCTGGGCTTGAATTTGTGATCCTCCAGCCTCAGTCTCACAAAGTGCTAGGATTACATGGATGCCCACCACACCCGGCTATAACTTCACTTTGAAGTTGTTTTTTTTAGATGAATAGACAGGTAGATAAACTACATGTTTCAGCAGGTGTTTCAGGATGTTTTGGAAAGTAATCATCTAGTAAAAGATTTGCTGTGGAAATGTGGTTTTCCTTCTGCTCAGATTTTGATGTTCCTTCTTGGAGGTCTGTGCTACTGAGAGGACTGTTTTGAAAACCACACTGCTACCCCTCTTCTGTTTACCTGAAGTGTGGGTAGAGTGCTGTAGTATAGTTTACTAATCTTATTAAAGGTTTGTTAATAGATTTGTTAATGGACTTAACAGAGGTTGATGAGACCAAATAATAAACATATTAAGTTTTCCCCTCAGCTTATTTACTAGTCCTTCAGCATTATGCAAAGGAGAAGAGACTAATTCTCTGAAGTTTCAGTTAAACTTAACAGCTGTATAAGTATGTTTAATACAGCGAAACTTAGGCAGAGAGACAGTGGAAGTTGTTCTGGGTCACATATCTACAAAGTGGTGGGCTTGGTATTTGAAGGTTCTGTTTTTTTGTCTTTTTCTGTATGAGCTGTTGGTTCTCCAACTCAGAAAGCTCAAGTGGCCACTGTTATGTTGCTTCTTTGATCTCAAATTCTTCAAGTTTACTTCTGAGCATATGAGGAAATGAGGAACGAATGGGGTAGAGTAGGGTACTTGTGTGCAGACTTAGTGTCCATTGAGGAAAACGGTTCATGTGAATGGCATAATCTTGGTAGTGAAATATTCTTTCTTGAAATTCATTTATTTATCTACAGCAGAAAGATTCTTATCCTACTTAGCTACCATAATTTGGCTTTGCAAGATTTTGTCTTTAACTACGTCACAGATTTTTCAGGCAGAAAAAAATGCCTTTCAAAGTAGATAACTTTGTAGGCTCCTCAAAAAATAAAAAAACAGAAGTTTCATTTGACCCAGCTATTCCCTTTCTAGGTATCTTCTTGAAAGAGTTAAAGACATCATATTACAGTAATAAATGTAAACCCACCCATGTTAATAGCATAATTCATAGTAGCCAAATTGTGAGAGCAGCCTATTTTTCCATCAGCAGATGAATAGGGCAGTTAAAGAAAATGTGGCATTTACACACAGTAGAATACTGCTCTGCCACAAAGGGTAAACCTGAGTCATTTGTAGGAAAATGGATACACCTTGAGACCATGATGTTAAGTGAAAGAAGTCAGACTTCCAAGCTTAAATATAGCATGGGTTGTCTTACATGAGAAACCCAATATGTAAGTAAATTAAGGAGCAAAATAAAAGATGATGTGAAACAGGGAGGTAGAAGGGAAGGGGACCAAGAGATGGAGGTAGGTAAGAGACCAGAGAGTAGGGGAAGGGATGAAGAAAGAATTAAGATACATTATATGAACAGACGACTCCCCATGGTGGATGTAATCATTCTGCACTAATAAAGAGTGAACATGGATCATAATGAAAAAATAGGTGCCCTCCTAAGGGGATTTTACTTTTATCTCAGTCTCTTTGCATGGTGAAAAATGTGGGAAATTGAAATAATTGCTTTTTTTCTTTGCAGATTAACTGCTGAAGTACTGATCGAGTTCTGCGTTTCTTCAATGAGGAACTACAGGCTGATCTTCTGCCATAATCTCAAACAACCATAAATGACAAAAGAATGCTTGCTCAGTGAGGGTAGCTGGTGCAGAAGCCATTTTTTAAACTTAGGTGTTTAAGTACTCAAAGGTAAGTCTTCAAAATGGTGGCTGCCTGGTGCGCTATAAATCCATAGAGATTTTTGGAGTTTGCTCCCTGCTAGTTACTTATTTGTATTTTTAGTATCAGTTATTAAAGTTAAAAAGGACTTTCCTCATTTTTACTAGTAGCTACTATTTGGTTGTAACTGAGTTTTGTAGTTATTAGCTGGCACCATTGTGTTAAAGAAAGGAAATTGCTTTTGTAAGACTATGTACATTTATATTCTCTTGTCCCTAAATTAATTTCTACCATTCCTGTACATTGGCTGAATTGTTTTCTAGTCTGCGTTCTTCTCTTGATCCAGAGAGTAAACAGTTGATCCAATGGGACTTATTTTTGTAAACTTTAGAATCTTGACTAGATCTACCTGGGTGATCTGGAGTCGTTCATTAATGATCAATTTTTGAAAAAAGTTTTTTCTTTTAAAATACTCCTTTCCTGTAAATAAATAGTTTTAAAATAAATGTTTATTTTAGAAAGTGAACTTTTCTTGGGACTTCTTGTTTTCTTACCCCTGCACATTGGAGAGGGTCATCCCAGGCATAGTTTCCTCCTCCTGCTTCTTTACTAGTGCAACGTAACTATTTTTTTGAACCAGACTAGCTCTGTCACTGTCTGCTGTGCTGTGTGCTGCTCTTCACTGCTCTGCTGTCTTTTTTTCCTTTTCGTACTGGGGATTGAACCCAGGGTCTTGCACATAATAGGCAAGCACTCTGCCACTGAACTGAATACCCAGCCTTTTTCATTTTGAGAAATGGTCTCTTATAACTGCCCAGGGTGGCCTTAAATTTGTGATCCTTGTGTCTCAACCTCCCAAATAGCTAGGATTGTAGGATTGTGCCACTGCACCTGACTGAAAAAAATGTTTTTGAGTAATTTTGAAGTAATAGTGTTGATAAAAAAGGACTTTCCTCATTAAAAGTTGAGATCCAGAAATGAAAAAAATTTTTATTTTTTAGCAGCTGCTCTGTCTTACAGGAATAACAACTGATTAGTTGTGTTATTTGCTCATCATTAAAGTGATTCTCTCATGTTTGGGTGTTTATCAATTGAGGGGTTAGGTGAGCTTCATATAGCAGAGTTCAGAGATGAATTAGGTTTGGCTTTTACATGGGTCATTAGTAAGCTTGGTTTTTTTTTTTTTTTTTTTATAAGCTTGGTTATTAAAGGTCTTGTAGTAAAGGTCTTAGGACCTTATATTTGGTTATTAACTTCCTTTGCTAAATTTTGAACAATTTTGCCATTGTTGTTAAATATGTAAACACTATAGGGAGCCTTCAGAACTGACTTCATAACAGAGAGAACGCTTTGATAACTATATTGGGCTTTATTTGTAGAATACACCATGAGCCTGATAACTGGAACATACTTAAGATAGATGAAAACACATTCAGGTGTAAAGCATTTTTCTTTAATGTATTTAGTCATATTGCCACCTGTTAATCATTATAGTCGTTTTTTTTTTTTTTTGTCTTTCATTTGGCAGAAAAGACAGCTTTGATTTCTGGCTGCAAAAAAGATATGAGGAAGAGCTCCTCCCCTTCCTTGAGTAACTGCAACTCCGTTCTTGCTAACAAAATATTTGGAATTCCACTTGATGAGCTGCAGCAGGGAGGACATCCAGACAATGAGGTTCCATTCATAGTCCGCCACGTTGTGGACTATATTGAGGAACATGGTATACATTTCTTTACTTTGAGGGCTAGCTTTTGTTGTAATATACACAACTTATCCCTTTTTGACTTTCGATTTTTAAATTTTTTTTAAGTATGGAGAATGCAAAATATAGGCAAAACAGTAGAAATTCTTTTTAAGGTTTTGGTGTGTTTTTAACTTAAATTGGTGTATCTAGAAATGACAGTTGCCCAGAGTAGAATATTTTTTTAGTGGGGGTGATAGGACTATTTTTAATGGATGTAAGGGGTGGGATAAAATAGAATATCCTTCGGAGAGATAGTATATTTCAAGACATCTAATTTGAAGGTTTTTAGCCAAATCTGGAGAGCCACCCAAGAAAGGCTTTCTAGAAGTATGAGTATTTTAAGTTGGCTAAAGATGAAAATATATGGGCGAGTTGTTGAAAGTTGCAGCTTATTTAATTTTTATCTTGAACTGACATAGGCGGTCTGGAGCAACAAGGGCTTTTTCAAGTCAATGGAAATGCTGAGACAGTGGAGTGGCTTCGGCAGAGATACGACAGCGGAGAAGAGGTGGATTTGGTTAAGGAAGCAGATGTTCCTTCAGCTATTAGTCTCCTTAGGTTTTTCCTTCAAGAACTTCCTGAACCTGTTATTCCTGGCAGTTTGCATATTCACTTGATGCACCTTTCTCAAGGTAATATAATATAGTTTTTTATTCTAATCAGTCATTTATTATTAGAGTCTTCACCTGTCTTGGTTACTTTTCTCTCATTGCTGGGACAAAATACCTGACGCCCAAAATTAAGGAAGGAAAGTGTAGTGGATTGATAACTGGTGGTCAACTTATAACCCCCAGCTGAACTGAGTAAGTGTGGTGCTGGGTGTGGGAGGCCCACCTGAGGACTGTTGCCAGCAGCATAAGAGGCAGACCTGGAGAAGAAGGAGGGCTGTTGGGAACTGAGAGAGGCTGTGGGAAGCTGGCTTTCCTGATGAACTTGGCTGTTTTCATCCTCTGAGGAGCTCGGGACCTTGCTGGCACTGAGAATGGCTTTGGTTCACTTTGGGGAGCTTTGGTCCTTCTGAGCATCACTTCCTGGCTCCAGTGCAGATCCCTCAGCCTGCTGGCACAGATCCTTCTTCCTGCTGGTACAGACTTTGTAGATTCCACCACTGACCTTTGGGCCTACCCAGCAGATCCATGAAGCAGGTCTGCATGAGACGTTGTCATGGGCTCTGGGCCTCCAGTTGGATTCATGGGAGGCATTGTTATGAGTTCTGGGTATTCAGCTCAACTCATGTAAGACGTTGTTGTAGGATCCAGGCCCTCAGCTGGATTCCTTGGTCTTAGTGTGTGGACAGATTCCCTGCACTCTTTTGTATTACTGTTCTTTGGGTGACTTATAAATAATCATATAAAGTATGTGTCCTGTATTATGTTGTTCCCCTTGCAAAATAAGCCCCAAACCGCCACAGAAAGGTTTATTTCGCTTACGATTGGTGGAGGTTTCAGTCCATACTTGGCAGATTACAAGGCAGAGTGGCACATGGCAGAGGGCTACAGCTCATGGGGGCAGAACACAGCAAAAGCAACAAGCACACACCAGGGCGGAATGGCCTCAAGCACCCTTTTCCTCTCCCTTACATATGCAAACTATCCACCCCAGGGCAGGTGTAGCTCTCACACCCATAATCAAACTCTAAAAGCCTGCCCCATGATCCCATGAGGCTTTGGGGAGACACACAGACACAAGCCATAACATCACCTTTTAGAAATCATTTCTTAAATTTTTTTTTTTTTTATTGTTTTATGTTTTTGAGACAGGTTCTCACTATGCAGTTCAGGCTGGCCTTGAGCTCACTTATAGCCCAGGCTGGTCTTGAACTCACAATGAATCTCCTGCCTCAGCCTCCTGAGTGCTGGGATTACAGGCATGTTACCACCATGCCTGGCTGGAAATCATTTTTTTAAATAATTCATTACAACACATTGTTATAATTGTTCTATTTTATTGTTACTGTTAGTTTCTTACTGTACGTAATTTATAAATTAGACTTTATTATAAGTATGTATATATAAAGAAAATACACCTACAGGGTTAGGTTCTCTTTATGATTTTAGGCTTCCATTGTGAGTCTTGAGGTATATCCCCTGCAGGTGAAGAGGGACTGCTGTAACTGCTGATTATTTAAGGAAGTAATACTAATGCTGTTTGATCTTAGAAAATAGCTTCCTAGATTCCTCACAATTTTTTTCATCTGGGAAAAAGAATCTTAAAATAATAATAATGACCCTGTAGAGCTGTTGAAGTTATGTATAAAAGAGCCTACACGGTAGCTATGCAGGAAGTAAGTTTCTTCCCTTTCTGCCTCTTCTCACTCCTAGAATACCTGGTGCAGGTGTGCACTTCCTTTTGTCCCTGAGCTGCAGGGTTGGAGCCCTGTGGCTCAGCCTGCTGCGCTGCATTCTCCTGCTGGGTTCTCTGCTGCTGCTCTCCTCCTCCTAGGGCAGCAGGTGAGAAGGGAGATACTAGCTTTGAAGGCTAAATTTAAAAATGTTTTACAGACCTACACTTTAGAAATCTTGACATATGTTTAATAAATATATTTCAGATTAATTTCTTATTTTTCCATTTGCTTTTTGGGCCCTTATAGTCAGGGAAATGGCAACTTCTTGCATCTTTGTAGTACTAGTTACTTTTTTTTTTCTTTGTTGCTGGGAATCAAACTTAGGACCTTGCACTTGCCAGACAGGTACTGTACCGCTGAGCTATATTCCTGGCCCTACCAGTTACTTTTTTATGATTGGTCTTATTAAGAAAAAGATACAGGAGGCAAAGGAGGAGGAGCAAAAGGAGAGTATCATTTATTTTATTTTGTTCATTCTTTGGGGATGGTGTCTAGGTCTCTGGACAAAGATTTCTGTGCGTTTGTTTTTCTTCTTTTGTTTGTGGTACTAGGGATTGAACTCAGGGTCTTGAGTGTGCTAGGCTAGCACTTTACCACTGAGCTACATCCCCAGCCTTCTCTGTATTTATTGTAGGTAAATATTATGTTATTGTGTGTTCATCCAACTAATTCAGCTGTTTATTGAATATTACTGAATACTCATTATATACTGAGCACTTTTTTTTTTTTGGTCTTTTTTTTTGTCTAGTGAGACAGGGTCTCACTACGCAGTTCAGGTTGGTCTTGAGCTCACTTTGTAGCCCAGGCTGGTCTCAAACTTGCAGTTATTCTCCTGCCTCAGCCTCCCCAATGCTGAGGTTACAGGCTGCAGGCGTGAGCCACCGTGCCCAGCTCTGAATAAATTTTTTATTTAGACTTGTGTTATTTTGCAAAGATGGCTAATATCATGGCCATAATTTTTATTTACCATTTTCCCATAAATTAAGGATCTGCAGAAAGATACAAAATGAAATACAGTTGGGTTAATATTTGCTACTAAAGCAATAAATTACTTCGTTTGAAGAGTATTTCTTTAAGAAATTACTTCTAGCCAGATTTGGTGGCTCACGCCTGTAATCCCAGCACTCGAAAGGCTGAGGCAGGAGGATCATTGCGAGTTCGAGGCCTACCTGGGCTACAAAGTGAGCTCAAGGCCAGCCTGAACTGCATAGCGAGACCCGGTCTCAAAAAAGACAAAAAAAAAAAAAAAAGAAATTACTTCTCCTAAGTGGGCCCTCATTTATCATTGGAGTTAATATAGGCCTGCTTTCTGTTAATGAAAACTCATTGGTTGGCCTTCATTGGCCTAACTTCTGTATTAAAATTTACTTGTTTGAAAAATAAACAAGCCAGCCTGGCCAACTTAACAAGATCTTGTCTCAAAATAAAAAAGACTGAAAGTGTAGCACAGTGTGTGAAGGCCTTGGGTTGAGTCTCCAGCACTATAAAAATACAGAAAAACAAACATTAATTTAGAGGAGAAAATCAGATTTTAAAAAAAGAGCCTTTTATTTAGTCTTACTAAATAAAATTGCTGAAGTTAATTATTCTTTTCAAAGCTCTCTTTCAAAAGTTCTTTTCAAAGGAGAAAAATAAACTTTGTCACTCTTCATTCCTTGTCTTCCCATTCACCCAAATGGAACAATATCACTGGTACTGTTGGCGTGGCCGGCTGTGTTTGTACTTACAGTGTTCATGTTGCTTGGCATGGACAGTGTATTTTGAGTTCTTAGAGTTGGCACGAGTTTGGAAACACAAGTACAGTCATGTAAGAGACCGTATGATGAGAATTAAAAAAGAAAAGAGAATTGGAGCCAGCTTGTAGCAGATGAAAACATCCTCTGGCAGTTGAAAAGTTGAGTTTCTGTGCTCCACATCCTCCTTTTCAACTCTTCCTCCACTTAATAAGTGAAATGCAAAGCCCTAAGGCGTTGGCCTGTAGTGGAGGACGGGAAGAGGTTTTGAATTGTTATAGTAAAAAGGTGATGTGGGTGGAGTAATGTGAACCTGGCAAAATATCTGAGCTTTCCTTTTTACTTCATTAAGAAACCTGTCATTATGTTTTATAGATTATAATAACGAAGATGAATTTGGAAGAAAGTTGAGGTTCCTCTTGCAACAGCTTCCACCTGTTAATTACAGTTTGTTAAAGTTTCTGTGTAGATTTTTAGCCAATGTAGCATCACATCATGAAGAAATTTGGTCTGCAAATTCTTTGGCTGCTGTCTTTGGTCCAGATGTCTTCCAGTAAGTTGTTTCACAAATACTTGTTTAATTTTTAAAAATGGGATTTGTGAAATAGAGCCATTTTCTTGTCTTCCAAGGATTACCGGATGTGTGCTGAACCATTTTTTATAATAGATCTGATTAATCCTTGCAGGAGTTCTGTGAACAGGGTACAAATTAGGTTGGCTTTACAGATGGGAAAACTGAAGCATAGAATGATGACATAAATTGCTCAGGTTTATAAAGTGACTCATTGGTTTCTTCTCACTTTACCTGTGATTAAGAACTCTCAATTCAATGTGAACTTTTATTCTTAGCATTTACACAGATGTGGAAGAGATGAAAGAACAAGAAATAGTGAGCAGAATAATGGCAGGACTTCTGGAAAATTACTATGAATTTTTTGAGAATGAAGAGGAAGATTTTTCATCAAATGATTTGAGCTCAATTACTGAACAGGTGAGAATATTTTAAAATTTTATTTGGAGGGAGAATGTGTGTTCTTAATATGCTTAGCTGGGTGTGGTGGCACATTCCTGAAATCCCTGCACTCAGGAGGCTGAGGCAGGATTGCTGTGGATTTTGAGATCAGCCTAGACTACTCTGTGAGACCCTGTCTCAAAAATCTAAAAAAACAAAAAAGAATATGCTTTCATGGACTTAATACAGATTTATGTAGAAATTAAGTACTGAACTAGAGGTGATTCTCTTGATTAATACATATGCAATATATATAATATGTTTATCCATGTGACATATGGTTTTGAATTTTTTCTCCCTGAACAGCTTCTGTTTTCAACTAGGATAGTGAGGAAAAGGCATTTATTTTTAAAATTTAAAAAAAAAAATTTGGAGACAGGGTCTTGCTATATAGTGCAGGCTGGTCCTACACTCGCTTATGTAGCCCAGGCTGGCCTTGAACTCATGGCAATCTTCCTGCCTCAGCCTCCTGAGTGCTGGGATTACAGGTGTATGTGACCACACTGGGCTAAAGGGATTTATTTAATTTTTTTTGATGTGCTGGAGATTGAACCAAGGGCCTCTAGCATGCTAGGCAAATATTCTACCATTGAGCTAAACCCCCAAATTAGAAGAGGTAAGTCAGAGTATGTGGTAGAATTTTTTCTTAAAGACAGGGTCTCAGTTCATGCTGGTCTTGAACTCACAGTGATTCTTCTGCCTCAGCCTCCCCAGTGCTGGGATTATAAGCATGACATCGCCACATCTTGCTCAATGGTAGAGACTTTTATGTCTATTTTAGTGTTTTGGTTTTTTTTTCCTGTAAATTTAGGCATTACTTTGTAATTGTAAGTATGGTGTAATTTTTGCAAAGAAACTGCTAGTTATAGAGGAATACTGTATAAGCAAAGGGTGAAAAATTTAAGTTAGAGCAAAAGATCAATACAAACTTGTATATTTTAATTTTTTTGGTACTTAAGAGTGAACCCAGTGCTTTATGAATGCTAGGCAAATCCTCTACCACTGAGTTAGATCCCCTGCCCTTTACAGACTTAGAAATTTGAACTTTTCCCTTGATTACAATAGTAGGTCAGAGTAGTGGAATCATTGTTTGATTTTTGTTTTTGAGATAGGGCCTTGTTATGTAGTTCAAACTGGGCTTGAACTCACCATATAGACTACTTGTCCTCAAACTCCCAGTAGTCCTCCTGCTTCAGCCTCTCAAGTGCTGGGATTATAGGCATTTGCCACCATGTCTAGCTAAAATGCGTATTTATATATGAAGTACATTGGATAGATTAAATTTATTGCCTGAATTAGCGGGAAATGAACCTTTTAAAACATTTTTAAAGATTCCCAATTATCATAGTATCTGACTTAATTTTTTAAAAGATTTTGCCAGGGTGGTGACACCTGCCTGTAATCCCAGCACTCAGGAGGCTGAGGTAGGGGGATGGTTGTGAGTTTCAGACCAATTTAGGGTACAAGGTGAACTCAAGGCCAGCCCGAACTGCATAGCCAGACCCTGTCTCAAAAAGACTAAACAAACAAATAAATAAATAAATAAAAGAAAGACTTAAAGGACTGATACCTCTCCTCCAGATTATTCTTGTTTGAAAAAAAGTAACGAGGAGAAGCGGATAAGTATACCTTAAACTTTAATGTCTGGATACCCATAAGTAAGCCCATCTGGGGAGAAATTCTACATGTCACATTACTTTCATTAAATTATGCTTTAATTCAGTAATTTTTTGAAAAGTAAAATTAATAATTGCTCAAAGTGAAATAGTATATAAGTGTTGGTGTCACTGATTTTGTGCCTTTCTAAGATGACCTAACAGAAACTGATGGTGCCAGCTTGAGCTAATGTTTATATCTTGACTCCTCAAAATCTACAAGGTATGCCTGGATTATGACATATTGTGATACAATTTTCTATTATACTATTTCTTGTATATGCTGAAGTATATCTATATTTCACATTTATTGAATGAGTTTCTTTGTCTTTTCTTGTTGTTGTTGTTGTTTTTGAGATGAACCTCGCTATGTATCCAGGCTAGCCTTGAATTTGTAGCAGTCCTTCTGTTGCCTCCCAAATGTTGGGATTACAGGTGTGTGCCACCATGCCTGGCTCTTTTTTTATTTTTTAAGCACTAGAAAGATTGATTTAAAATATGTTGTGCTTTATGTTAATGTCAGGAGGTAATGTTGAATTCTGCAGACTTTCCCATGGATAGAAAAGAGGATACAGTATTATCATACTGAATAGAATATGCCCAGTAAATGGATAGTTCAGTGGATCCTAAGAGACAGTGATATATTCTTTATTGTCTGGATGTATCTTACTTTATTACTGGAATCTTTTTGTTTTTCTTTTCCTTTCTTTTCCTTTCCTTTTTTGGGGGGCAGACAGGGTTGTGCTAGGTAGTTTAGGCTGGCCATAAGTTCACTATGTAGCTCAACCTGGCCTTGAATTTGCGGTGATCCTCCTGCTTCAGCCTCTTGAGTTCTGGGATTATAGGGATGCTTCACTATGCCTGGCTATTACTAGAATTGATTTTCTAATCTGTTTTTATTCTAAATTTCTGGATTAGTGTGACAGTTGCAAATAACAGAAATACAGACTGGGAAGTTTTTGTTTAAAAGCGGATTCAATAACTTCAATTTAATTTGTGAAAAAGTGATAATTTGAATTGCACTAAATATCTTCATGATCAGCCCTGCTTGGTTGTGTGTTTGAATTGGTCTAATTTAAATGCTGCTAATGTGTTGTCTGCGTATTTTAAAATGTAGGCAGATGCGGCTGATTTGGCAGTCTTGCTTTTTCTCCTGTCTTTTTGAGACAGTCTCACTATGCGTTCAGGCTGGCCTTGAGCTCACTGTGTAGCCCAGGCTGGTCTTGAACTCACAATGATCCTCCTGCCTCTGCCTCCCGAGCACTGGGATTACAGGTGTGCACCACCACGCCTGGCGGAAGCAAGGTTTAGTCACCCCTTTTTTGGAGTTTCATTCCATTAATGCAGATACCTGGCTGCAGTAGATTTTTATTTCTATTAATTATATTAGAGAGATGGTTGGAGATGATGATGAACAGGGCTTGTTTGAGAAAGCGGGCTTTGTATGAGTCCGTAAAAGCAGGAGACTTCAGTGGAATGGTTTGAAGATGGAGGTGAAAATTATATTTCTTTGTACTTTTTGAGAAGGCAGATAGCAACATTCTCTACAAACTGGAATCTTGAGAGCAGGCATTTCTTGGGACCCTAAAGAAGGGACTTACAGCAAAGAAAGAGATGTAAGTATGGTGAGGTTTTCATAAATGACACTGAGGCAGCTGTGTACGTAGGACAAGTTCACAATAATTTATGAGCAGAGTAGTTTTGACTAGTGAAAGTTTATCTTGACAGGGAGAAGAAAAAGAACTTTGGAAGGTTCAAGAGAGCATTTTACTTCTATAATACTTACTGTGCAGTGGGACCTTAGTTCATGAACTTAATTCATCCTGTGATTCTGGGGGAGATGGCTGTGGTGGTGGTAGTCACCCAATGTGGAGTTCGCAAACAGAAGCAAAATTTTGCATGATGGTTTTTTGAGAATCAAATTGCTCTGGACGGGCTGGGGATTTAGCTCAGCGGCAAAGCTCCTGCCTGGCAAGCGCAAGGTCTTGAGTTTGGTTCCCGGTACCGGAGAAAAACGGAAAAAAAAAAACAAAAAAAACAAAAAAACAAATTGCTCTGGAAAAGAAGTGTTCGTGAACTGAGGTATTAGTAATTGAGGCAGTTTTTACTGGAGGAAGTTACAGTGGGAGGCCTGGCAGTTATGAACAGGAAGAAGAAAAGCCCACAAGTGATTGTTCATTTCATATCTTAGTTGATTATTGGTGAAAATACTGGGAAATATCATTAACTACTTAACATTTAATATAATATATTCAGTATAGTGCAGTATAAGGCTTTTGTAGTTCCTAAGTGATATGGGCTACGTAAAGAAAATTACAGTAAAACTCTGGTTTCTGAGCATAATTCTTTCTGGAAACATGCTAGTAGTCCAAAGCACTTGTATATCAAAGTGAATTTCCCCATTAGAAATAATAGAAACTCAGATGATTTGTTCCACAACTCAAAAATAGTCATATAAAAATAATTAGAATTGGGGTTGGGGATACAGCTCAGTGGTGCAGCTGCCTGCCTGACAAGTGCGAGATTGTGAGTTTGATTTCTGGTACCAAAAAAAGTTTACTACAATAATGTAATAAAATAAAGAAAATACAAAATACAAAGAAAAATAAACAAGTTTTACAAAGTATGAAGAAAAATAAACAAGTTAACGTACAATTACCTTTGAAAACCTCCATGGCTGGAGTGAGAGAGACAGGAAGGTTATTATATGGAATGACTTTTACTATCACTAATGGAATCATTGCTATTGGCTCAATGGAATCTTTTTCTTTTTTTGCACTTTTAGAAGGAACCTGTCCAATAACGCTTGGCTTTGCCTTCTTGTGAGGATTTCATGGAAATGTGAGACTGCATTGTAGTAGTCCTCCTGCCTTAGTCACCTGAGTGCTGGGATTACAGGCGTGCACCACCACACCCAGCTCCATTCTTTATTTCTGACAAGTGTATATATTTTTTCCAGTATTTTTCTTGCTTAGGTTATCAGTTACATACTCCTTAAGTATATTCTGTGGATTTTCACTAACTAATTGAGTATATAGATATGGAAAAAAGATAATTTTCCATTTGATCAACTTTATTTTTGTCTTTTGGAGACAGGGTCTCACTATGTTGTTCAAGCTGGCCGTGAACTCACTTTGTAGCCCAGGCTGACCTTGAACTCACAGCAGTCCTCTTGCCTCAGCCTCCTGAGTGCTGGGATTACAGGTGTGCACCACCACATCTGGCTCATTTGATTTTTTTTTTTTTTAATCAACTCTAAAAACTGACGGGAAATTTGAGGTTTTTGCCTTTATGTATAAATCTTCCCTGTCAGTTAATAACTACTAGGCTATTCTAAGTTTTTTCCATTGTCATTATACATGATATGGTTCAGATGAGGGATGGCATTTATAAGCACAACAAATTAAACAGAATTTGCTGCATATCCTTTATATATATGAGTTGTTAGTGACCCGTCAGACTAGTGTTTTTTTTTTTTTTCTTTTTTCAGTCTCTTGATTATACAGGTTAATGGGTTTCATTCTGGCAGATTCATACATGCACATAACATACTTCCTTTTCATTTTTAATTTTTTTTTTTATCTATACATGTTTCCCATGTATAATGGTCACATTCATGGTAGGGAATTTGTACTTGTGCTTAATAATATATCTTGCTGCTGCTTTTTTCCCCCATTCCCTTGCCTTCCCTTCAACCCTTCTTTCCCTCCCCATTTTCAAAAGCTTTGTTTCCATTTTTTTCTTCCATTCTTTTTTTTTTTGTTTGTTTGTTTTTTTTCCGGTACCAGGAATCGAACTCATGACCTTGCGCTTGCCAGGCAGGTGCTGTGCCGCTGAGCTAAATCCCCAGCCCCTCTTCCATTCTTTTTTTAATCCCCTTTCCCTCCTTCCCTCCTCGCACCTCCTTGTTGTTCCCTTTCCTATTTGAACAAGTTCTTCCTACTTCCCAGTGTCTGTCATCCTTTTGCTCCTCATTTACCTTTTGGGTTTCTCACACGAGAAACCCAAAGGCTCTTTTTTTCTTCATACACATTTTAATTTGGCTTGTGGTACTAGGGATTGAACCTAGCCTGGTGTGTGCTAGGTGAGTGTGCTACTGCTGAGTTATACTCCCAGCCCTACAATTTTATTTTGGTATACAGATGTTGGCATTTACTCCATAAGATACCTTGGTCCTCAGAAGTGAGGGGAAAAAATTTTTTTAAATGAGTTTTTTGTTTAAATTTTTTTTAGAGTATTATGTCTTTGCTTTTTTCTTTTTTTTTTTTTTTTCCGGTACTGGGAATCGAACTCATGACCTTACGCTTGCCAGCCGGGCGCTGTGCTGCTGAGCTTAATCCCCAGCCCCAGAGTAGTATGTCTTAGATATTTCAGTTAACAGCTTCATTAAATTTCAGTTGGAATTTCCTTTTTTTCCTGTAGGTTAATGACCTTTCAGAGGAAGAAGATGAAAAGCTAGAACATATAGAAGAACTTCCAGAAGAAGGTGCAGAAAAATCAGGTGACATGCCGGAAGTGGTACAATTAAGGATGACTGAAAATGTCCTGGAATCCAATAGTGTTATAGCAGCAACAAGGTAAATACTTCGCCTGAATGAGCTTCAGCTTCTGAGCATTTATTCTAGACTCACTTAAGCACTGAATACAAATTATAGCTGTATGTGAAAGCCTGACGCTTATATCTGGAAAAAAACAAGAAAATTTAAAGCAGCAGCTTTGGTAAGCAATTTTATTTATTAACATTACACCTTTCTTAGAAAATAAAGCCTCATAATGTATTTCTTTTTTTAGCTTTTTTTTTTTTGTGGTACTGGGGATTGAACTCAGAGCCTTGTACATGCTGGGCAAGCCCTCTACCACTGAGCTACATCCCCAGCCCGAACATATTTCTTTCTTTCTTTTCTTTTCTTTTTTTTTTTTTGGTCTTCGTTGAGACAGGGTCTTGCTATGCACTTCAGGCTCAAATCTTTCTTTTCTTTTCTTTTTTTTTTTTGGTCTTCGTTGAGACAGGGTCTTGCTATGCACTTCAGGCTGGCTTTGAGCTCGCTTTGTAGCCCAGGCTGGCCTCCAACTATCAACGATCCTCCTACCTCAGGCTCTCAAGTGCTGGGGTTACAGGCCTGCACCACCCAACATATTTCTTAAAATTTGTTTTTATGTGAGCTTGTTGAGCTGGGTAAATTTTCAGTACTTTTGACAGTAGAATTCTAGAGAAATTTACAGTGATTGCATTGACTTGTATTTCTAGCTTTTAGGCTACAGCGATGTTTAGAAAATATGTAAGGATAGAGCGCTGATCTTTTAAAATAATGCTTCCAATCTTTTTCATGGATAAAAAGATCTTTTCTAAATGGCATACTGATGCGGGGCATGGTGTCTCAAAAAGACAGAAAAACAAAACAAAAAAACTAAATGGCATGCTGAATAAATATGAAAAATGTGATAGACTGGCTTTAGTGGATACTCTTCAGAAAGCTTTAGAGAAGTCAAGAGCTGCCCATACATATCTGTCTCTCTTTTTTTTTTTTTTTTCCTTGCTTTTTGTTTTTTTGGGGTTTTTTTTGTACTGGGAATCAAACTCAGGACCTTGTGCTTGCCAGGCAAGTGCTTCTGCTGCTAGGCTATATCCCTGGCCATACATCTCTCTTGAGTTTGCTAAATTCTGTGGTAATGTTCTCTTAAGTTCCATGGTTTATTAACCCGTTTTCATTAGGAGGGCAGGGCTGTATATTTAACCTGCTAAGTGTTTTACATTAAGTTTGTATTGATTAAATGGTGGTTTAACAGTAGAGGAAATGATAATGTCTTTTAAAAAAATGGTAATAGCTGAGGTTAGAGGAGAGGTATCAGTGTCACTTAGAAAAATTACAGCTGGTGTGGTGGTGCACGCCTGTAATTCCAGCACTTGGGAGGCAGAGTCAGGAGGATTGTTGGGAGTTTGAGACCAGCCTGGGCTACAAAGTGAGCTCAAGGCCAGACTGAACTGCATAGTGAGACCCTGTCTCAAAAAAGACAAAAAGAAAAGAAAGAAAAATTACAAAGTGACTTAAAATTATTTATATTGCTGAAGAATACAGCTATTACACTTTTCTGTGGGCCTCCTGATCTTGATCTTTATGAATAATTTTCTTTAAAAATATTATGTATTAATATGTTTATTCACACTTAGTTTAAAATTTCATTTGTGCTTTATTGTGTTGTTGGTTTTTTTCATTTTGTTTTTGTTTCTTGAGACTGGGTCTCACCATTTGGTGCAGTCTGGTCTTGAATTCACTATGTAACCCAGGCTGACCTGGAACTCAGAGTGATCCTCCTGCCTCAGCCTCCTAAGTGCTGGGATTATAGGCATGCATCACCATGCCCGGCAATGCTTTATTGTGTGTTTACATGACCTTCCGGTTAATTTTTATGGCCTCTTAACGGTATTTAAATTATACATTTGGGGGCTGTTGTTCAGTGGTAGAACACTGCCCCACTGAGGATGCCCTAGGCCTCCCATCTGAGATACTCCATTACTTCCAAGTAGCCTTTCTGTGGACACCACGCCTTTCATGTGTGGAGCGCTGGGTGACAGTCAACATCCACACTACGCAGGTTTAAACATTTTTGTAAGAGTTGTAGTCACATTCAAAATGTTTCCCTGGCTGGGCGTGGTGGCGCATATCTGTAATCTCAGCACTTGGGTGATTGAGGTAGGAGGATCGTTACGACTTCGAGACCAGCCTGGACTACAAAGTGAGCTCAAGGGCAGCCTGAACTGTGTAGCAAGACCCTGTCTCAAAAAGGCCAAAATAAAAAAGTTTCCCTGGAAAGTTGTGAAGGGTGGGATTTGTGGAGTGTTGTGTGGGCGCCTTCTTGGTGGTAGTGACTTCATGTGTGGTCTGCGTGGTTCATCTGTGGTGTACAACAATGCTGTCGTCAGGGGGTTCAGCACTTCCCTATGATCTTTGTATGGGAATTTTAAAAATTAATAATTAGATTAAGTGATTGCAAGATTGATTTTATGAAGATTATATAACTATAGGCACATTTTAAAATAGAGTTAATAGCAGAAAGGAGAAAAGGTGAAGGGATGACTGAAGTCTTTTAACATTAAAGTTGACCAATGACTTTATTTCCTTTGTGGGTCAGTGTCCTTTTGATCTGCTAGCTCTTTTCTGAGGGTTTAATAGACTGCATTTTTAGGTGGTCTTTATGATATCCAACTATAGTTTCTGAGTAATGTGGCCTGATATCTGTCACCAATTATTTTTCTTATCTTTATTAATCAGGACTCACACCTTTTTTTTTTTTTTTTTGAGGTGGTCTTGCTTATTTTAAAGATGGTGCAGGCTGGCCTTGAACTCATGGAGATCCTTCTGCCTCAGCCTTCCAGATGCTGGGTTATAGGCCTGCTCCACCTCAAGACCCACAACTCTTTATATTATCTATGATATTTAGCTGCAAATACATAGCTATATTGTTCAGTTTTGCTTTGTTTTGTTTTTACATCCATTTGTGTGTACAATTTGTGCCTCAGTTTGTGCATGAGGGCTTCTCCTCATAGAATTTGGATAAAACCTGAAAATAACAGTTAAGTTATATGAAATCTGAAAACTAAATTGGTTCTTTGTCCTTCAGAAGTTCAGAGAACAAAGTTGTACGATCAGTTTTGTGGGTAGCTTTTCTGGTGACTCGTATAAAGGGTTAATTTTACTGTGGCTTTGAGGGATCCTTTTTTTTTTTTGGTTTTTCTCTGGTACTGGAAATCGAACTCACAACCTTGTGCTTGCCAGGCAGGCGCTGTGCCGCTGAGCTAAATCCCCAGCCCCTGTTTTTGTTTGTTTGTTTGTTTGTTTTTTGGTGAAGGATCCTTGTTAACATTCAAATGAAATCTTTTTTGATTTTTTTTTTTTTTTTTGGTACCAGGAATTGAACCCAGGACCTTGCACTTGCCAGCAGGTGCTTATGCCGCTGAGCTATATCCCTGGCCCCCTCAAATGAAATCTTAATCATGAGGGAGGGATCCTTATCAAAAGAAGCTATTTATTTGATTGTCCCAGTATATTTTTCAGGGCTAATATCTTTACTGTTGCACTAATAAATAACTTGTCTTGCTCATTCCTACTTTTATATGTACTTGGATTTTCTAGTGTCAGTTAAAAAGGGATATGAAGCAAAAGGTGAGCTACCTTTCTTCTGTGTCCAATTTAAATCCATCAGAACGGTCCTCTCTTTGGCTCCTTTGACTGACTGGGAATCTTACTAAATCTTAGTCTTTTTGGAGGCTGGATATAGATCTAACCAGTGTTCTTCAAACTTGTTGTATGGATTTAGAAAAAAATTTTAAGTACTGGGCGTTGAAACTCAGGGCCTTTGCACAAGCTACATCCCTAGCCCTTTTTATTTTTTATCTTGAGACAGGAGTCTTACAGAATCACTAAATTGCTCAGGCCGGGCTCAAACTCAAATCCTCCTACCTCAGCCTCGTAGAGTGTGACCGTCTATGCCTGGCAAACTTTTTTTTTTTTTTTTACAGTTTACCTAACTGAGAATCATTATTGATGCTTATTGGGATCTTCCTTAGAGCTGTGATGGGAAGACTCAGGAGTACACCTTTTCTTAAGGCTGTTCTTTCCTTTTAAATGTGGAATAAATTTCACATATATAAAGGTCCATGAAACATATTTATAAAAAACAATTAGTAAAAATTAGTAAAAAGCAAATATCCATATCCTACCTCCCATATCTAGAAATAAATATTGACAGCAGCACAGTAGCTTTAAAATCTTGGTACCTCTCCTTCATGACTAAGATAACCACTGTGTTGACCATGGTATTCATTTCCTTGGGTAATCATTTATGAAAATGAAATCAGAATTTTAGCCCATGTGTGATAGTGTCACTAATGAAAACAAACCTCTGTATGTAAAATCTTAGTCCAGTTTTTTTGTTTTTTTTGTTTTTTTGAGACAGAGTCTCCCCATGCACTTCAGGCTGGCCTTGAACTCACTGCATAAGCAAGGCTGGCCTCAGATTCATGGTGATCCTCCTACCTCAGCCTTGCAGGTGCTGGGATCACAGGTGTGGGCCACCACACCTGGCTAGTCCAGGTTTTTTTGCTTATTTTACTTTATTTTATTCTATTTTAGTCTTTTTGAGACAGGGTCTCACTATGCCGTTCAGACTGGTGTTGGGGTGTTTTTTTTTTTTTTTTTTTTT